AAGGATACATGGCCGTTAGTCCCCTTGCTTTGAATACATTGTCCCATGATTGTTGCCATTTTCTGAAGCAGCTCTGGAAGCCCTCTTTCGTGTCCTTAGTGGCACTGTCATGGCTGTCTCAATGCCCTGAATGCATTCAAAACATTTCCTTTTCGTGGTCCTTCTGACTTTGGGGAAGAGTCAGAGTCACACAGCGCCAGATCTGGTGAATAAGTGGATGAGGACACACAGTGATGTTTTTATGACCCGCTGTTCCACTAGAGATACTCAGCAGCAATACTCACTATGGTTTTATCTCATCTCGTATGACCTGTCCCAAAAGAGGACTTCCACAGCTGCTTAGGAAAGCGACGGGAACGATGGGATGAGTGTGTTCAAAGCACGGGGGAGGACTTTGAGGGGCATTAATGGTGTCTTGTACGATAATAAATTTTGAAAACATTCACCACCATCTCTAAGCCATCCCGTGTATCTCACAGCACTGTTGCCCAGGTGCAATAGAACAACTATAGAGAACACTTAGCTCATGGCCAGGCGTGGAGGGAATGTTCACAGAATCCTGGGTGGTCCTGGGCCGGGCAGCTGTGCTCCCACCCACTCTTGATGGAGGACAGGAACTTGGACAGCACCTGCCTCTCAGTGACACAGCACCAGCGTATTGTAGCTGGCTCTGAACTGTGGGGAAAGGAGCCCTGGAGTGGGAAATGAGCGTGTTCTGTGGTTATCGGGGGAGCCAAGTGTAATTAACACCTTAGTGGACAGCTTTTCCTTATCTTAGCCAAGTAAGTGCCACAAGAGCCCGGAGGCAGACTTCAAGGGGAGATACCCTTCCAGGCTCCCGGGGGTTTTGCTCCTAGGATAATTCATTCTGACTACTGGCCTGAGAAAACCTGATCAGAACGTTTTTAACAAATGACGATTGCTCTTCAACCTTAATTTGTTCTGTGCCTTTCTGTCCAGGGACCAGAGTTGTGAGCACAATTATAATAGAAATATGATAAATGACTAAGAATTCTAGTCCCCAGTAAATCTTTTGTAAAGGTGGGAATGACTGAGCTGAAAGAGGATTGCAGAGCCAGTGGAGAGATCCACCTCGAGAATTTAAAGGCAGCAATGCCAGAGAGGCCCGGCTGCCTCTAGAGATGAAACTGCAAAATTATAGCCGGGGAGACCACAGCACTGAGTAATGTCTCCCGATGTTAATAAAGTCTTTGAGAGCCTGGATCAGGCAACTCACTGAATCTAATTTATATTCTCTTAGACAAAATCACTATGACCTGGATAGAAATTCAGCCAGGGAGTAATAAAACATGGAAAGTCACAGGTAGCCTCTGAGAAGGCAGGAGCCCTGCCCTTTGGCTCATTATGTTTTAAGTGCTATAGGAAATTAGACATTTACTGAGCTTGTATGATGTGCCAGCAATTGTGCTGTGAACTCTGATGAGTGGTGTTCACTGCATCCCCTCAGAAGTCCTCTATAGAAAAGTCATGCGATCCGGTGACTGCTTGACAATTCTCTGTTATAAAGATACATCCTTGGGCCTTGGGACTTCGATGTTTCTATCACTTCAGGTGGCCAAAATGAACTGATATTTCCAGTTACTAGTAAACAAGAGCAAAGGGACATTACATTTCCCAAACAGACTTTAGGCACAGCAGGGATACTGTACATGAGCGGTAATCCGTGTGCCATTGCTGTAGGCAGATTCCACCCCCAACACAGGTCACTCTAGACGGGTCCGAGTTCTGGTGCTGTCTCCACCCCTGGTGAGATCCTTCAGATCAAACCTCTAACCTGATAACCAAGCTCAGAAAGCAGCGGTTGCCCATTAGTTGGGATGCAGACAACAAATGTGAAAAGGTAATATTATATTTCCCCTCCTGTCCCTACACATCAGTCTTGGAAAGTGTTCCTATGTCTCACAACTTCATAAATTTGTGGCCTTCTGAATTCAGGAAGGGGCAGATGTGCTGATTCTTGGACAGAGCCTAACTTCCTGGACTCATGGTTGCTTGACCTATAGGAGACAGGAGAGAGCAGGGCCAGCCAGGGCCAGCAGTTCTGAGATGGTCAGGAGAGCCCCAGTGGCCCACCGGCTTGTCTTCTGCACACGCAGGCCTTACACCTTCCCTTCTCCAGGTTCACTTATCAACGGTGATCATTCACATTGGCCAATTTATTTGTCACCACTCCCGTGTCCATGTTTGCCCAGTAGGAACTTTTGAAGTTCCTCTGTGATTCATGAGACACCGATCTTTCCAACACTCGATTATACAGTGCCAGAATGTGCTCACATATGCAACTTTTTAACTCCCTGCCTGTCCCAGGATGATTTACTCATTGTACCTTCTCCTGCCTTCCAGCCCCAGGTGTGTCCGGCCTCCCGAGTGAGGTGTTGACACCCCCATCTCTAACCATTTGGGAGCCACTAGTTCTTCTCTCCCAAACTAGGGCCTTCAGGTCTCTCTGTGTGGCTCAGTTCAAAGCTCTGTGGCATCTGAAGCCACTGTTGCCCGCCTAGCCACCAGCCGCATGCATATGTGACATCGTCGCTGCTTCAGTGACCAGCAAGCAAGAATGCAGTGGTGAAATCAGCTACAAGCTGAACTCTGGGCAGCATTGCATGAGAGAAAAACCAGCAGTTGCTCACCACTTTCACCGGCCTCAGCCACAGGGGAGAAAAGATAATGAATAATGTCCAAAACATCAGAAGTAAGAGAGCAGTTGTAGTTTCTTACTGTGTGCTCTTCAAAGATACCCAGCTGAGCAGAGTAAGGATCTGAAGTTGGGATTTAATGATACCCAGGGAACAGCAGGGTCAGGGCCAGTGAGAAATCCCTGCTCTTTTTCTTTTGAAGGCAGCCCTTCATATTCTGCGCTTCCTAGGACTGCGGGCTTGTTTCCCTGGCAACTAGCTGACTTCCTGAGTCAAAGGTCAGCGTGGGGGGGCAGGCATACCTGCTGTCATAATAGGTATTCCGGGAGGAAGGCCACCTGGTTGGGACTTTGGGAGCGAAGGACAAGAACACTGAACACTGAAGCAGGCATGGCTATTGCAGCACGGAGAGGTATTCTCTTCCTGCATTTTAAGTGAGGGCACTGAGGCATAAAATGCTAAGTGATTGACACACACACACACACACACACACACACGTCACATCTCTAGGACACTACAGAACCAGGAATTAGATCTGTCATACAATTCTCTTTGTTAACAAAGGACATGCTGCTGGCCAACCATGGAGAAGGTGTGCACCTGGAGTTGTTTTTTGTTTTGGGTTTTTTATGGGTTTTTCATACAGACTTGGAATTGAACCGAGAGCCTCCACACTGAGCTATACCCAAACCCTTTTTCTTTATTTTGTATTTTGAACGGGTCTCGCTAAGTCACTGGGCTGCCCAGGCTAGGTTTGAACTTACGATCCTCCTGTTTCAGCCTCCCAGAATGCTGGGATTACAGGCGTGCATCACCACATCCAGCAGTTGTTTTCTTGGAGAAGAGATGGATGTATATCGATCTGTGTGTGGGCTGTGGGCTGGCCAGCTGTGAGCTGCCTGCCAGAGGAGCCAGGCCCTGTGCTCAGCAGTGACCAGCCTATGCCCCTGTGGTTCCTACATAGCAGTAAGACTCCAGGACCCAATGGAAAGCTAAAATCCAAATGTCTGTTCTTCCCACCAGGCAGAGCAACCCGAGATGGAAATTTGCTGAGAGCAGCAGAGGCTCTGGGGACGACTGGTAATTTGAGTTTCTCAGAGGCAGACAATATGTTGGTGCCAGATGTCATTTTAAGCTAGAAACCTATGGTTATGTTGCTTAGATGATCTTCTTTATTTACTCTAACCCATAATCCGGAAGCTCTCCTAGATTGAATGTGGGCCATTGAACATTCCTGGGAGAGCCGTAGCTCAGTATTTTTGGGTGTTGCTGTTTCCAGCTACGGGATCACATTTCTGCCTGCAGTTTCCTGCCTTTAGTATCTGATTATCTCTGTACTGATCTGTCGCGGGTCCTCAAGACCCTTTCTCCCTCCCAGGGCAGCATCACCCCCAAATTGTTTCTGATTCGCTCCTCTACCCCAGCTCCAGAGACCTCCCTTGAGGATCTGTGCATCCCTCGCTGCCTCTGTCCTTTAGGCACCGTTGTTTTCCCCCATCTTCTTGGCAGGACTGAAGAGCAGAGGTTCTGGAGAGGCCTGGGGTCCCATGGAGCTCCTCTCTGGGATGGTGCCTGGCAGTCAGAGGCGGAGGTGCTGGCTCCAGGCTCCAATTGAGAATGGCACTGGTGCCCCTGCTCCCTGCAGTCCTGGTTCCCCTCCTGGGAGGGCTTTGGACGGCCTGGGCCCCAGAGTTGGGTAGCCGTGGAGAATACACATCCCCCAAGTGCACTTGTGTCTCAGGACAGCCCCAGGCAGGCCGTGCATGCTGGCCACTGGCCCTCTGCCAGCTGTCCTGCCACC